CACACACACACACACACACACACACACACACACATATATAACTAGTAGAACATAATCAATGTAATGAGCGTTGTTTACTTTCAGCATGCGAGTGCTGTCTACTGAACGTAATCAGCATTGATCAGCGCTGAGGCAGCAAGTGCATCGCATTATGCTTCCATCAAATTACAGGTTATAACTTTTACTGTAGCTATATGGGCACTTAGCCTTTCTTGTTTAATATACTTGGCCCAAATCTCATGATATTAAATGATGAAGCACTATATGCACAGGATATTTAAAATGTACAAAAGTATATTGGCTACAACTAGACAGCAAATGCAATTCTCTGCTCTTCAAACACACAAAAAAACATAGCCTTTAAAGGAACATGTTGTACTTCGTGAAATCACCTTCACTGTCTCCAGTCTGTGCGCGACATATCAATCTGAATGGAGGTGGGGCAAAGTTACATGGTTTCGCCAACAGTTTGAGGATCCAGTGGCGATAAATACCAGTCAGAACTGAATAGTTGATACCTGAATGACAGATCCCCATAGAAATCAATGGTAAAAATTTGAAATGTGTTGCCAGTAACAATAGAAGTCACTATTGAAATAAGTACTAGTATCTAATGAAGTACTAGTACCTTTTTAAAAAGGTACTAGTACCTAAAGGATAAGTACCAGTAGCACCAGTATTTAATGGAAAATATATTATTAGCTAAAAAATAAGTACCAGTAGCATGAAAATAGATACTAGTAAGTTTTAAGGATTAAATGTTAAAACAGCTTGCCATAGTATGAGGCAAGACTTGAACCCCCATTACAGTTTACATTGTAATAGCTTTAACAAACAGACCAACAATGACTCTTCAAACTTATTGTTTTTTTAATGCAACCTGTCTGCAGAAGTCCAGCCATCTCAAGTCTCCCACATTCGTTTTGTGTTACAAGATGTAACTATGAGAGTCCCCAACCAAACAGTTCTAAAATGCACCACTCCAAATCTGTAGAACAGGTGAGGTATTAATGGAGACAGGTATTACCAGATTAACCAGACACTACATGCATCAACATGATCAGTGTTTGCCTTTAGCAAATGGTCTACCTTCTAGTAGACAGAAATACACCTGGTTTTCTTACTTTTGAATTAAATATTTTATCTGATGATAACATTTAAAATTCCTCTAAGTTAACAGTCTTTCAAAACATTAGATATAATAAAAATGTTATGTTATATCAAAAAATACATTCACATGTGAATTGCCCTTTATGGAAACTTTATTGTTTTAAATACTTTGATTTCCCAGTAAAAAAAAAAGGTAAGCACTTGATTGATACAAAAATATAAAACAGAACTGAAGTTGTAAGAACTTAAATGCATTTACACAAAAAAGCTCAATCAAAAATCAAAGGAACAAGAGCTTGTTGCATTTCAGATCAGCATTAATACTGTCTGAGTAATTCAGCTATAAACAAAATGAGGAACATTCAGAGTTAAGCTCTATGGACAACATCTGTGACATGCTGTCGATTAACACGAAATCGTTTCAACCCGTTCCTTAAAATGAAATTCCAACTTTTAAATGCATTTCTAAGCACATAAATATCAACACATTTTGTTTTTGACCACTTTATGAACTGAAAGTTGAAAGTATTTTCTGTGGTAATCAGCAGCATGTCACAAATTATAGGGCTTAACTTGAACCTGCTATATTCCTTAATGGAAAATTTAACTTGCTGTCATTGATACTTAAAAACACAAATGACTCCACCAATATGAATGACCACATATTAAATCCAACTTAAACAGAAACTTTCCATTAGCTGTTTGGAATGTAGAAGTATATACTGAACTGAACTACTTGTTAGAAAGTTAAAAATATGGCTTGAATACTTGAAAAAATAAGAATATGCTGATGGTTCGCACACCTGAAGCACTACCTTTCACAAATTCGGTCACTGCTGTATGGTCTCTGCCACTGCAGCGGACTTTCAATGCTAAAAAAAAAAAAAATCTGTAAACACACCAACAAGATGAAGACAGAAAGTCTGGTACACTGAACTAAAACAGCTGGACAACCAAATGTGCTGGATTTCCCGCTGGGGTGGAAATACAAAAACATGGCTCTTGAATGCAGTGCAGCACATATTTTCCTGAGAGACCAAATGGAAAACTCCACAATATTGAAAATTGAAGAAAAAATTGCATTTTCATTACTAGTCTACTTAATTATAAGTAACTGCATCTTAACTCAAAAACTGTGCAATTCAATTGTAAAAATAGCCTTTGCAGTCAGAATTGGAAACCTTTCAAAAACTAAATGGCAAATGTTGATTGAGTTTGGCAATTCCTACCATAAACACAAAATTGATGAACAAAAAGAAGCTGTGTTGCATCAGTTACCTATAGGGGTTCTAGCCAACAAGCTACAGTACTGTATATCTTACTGTAAAATATACAAAAAGATGTAATAATAGCAAAGATGAGTATGTCAACAAACTGAATCATGAACTGGATGCCTCATTTTCAGATTATATAAGAGAAGATCAGAAAATGAATGCAAAGAGAAAGATACGTACTGAAGTTCCAGTTACTGTAAAACCATTTGAAATTTATATGGCCAGATGTGTGTAATAGTACAAGTGCTAAAACCGACAAGCAATATACTAAACAATCCCAGCACCCAAACTTCTACATGAAGTTCCTCCACTGGTTTTCAAACAGAAAGCTTCATTATCATCTGTATTTGAGCCAATTCCTCGGGTGACTGTGGATTTGAAGTCTGAATCCTCTTAAGTGAGTCGGATTCCCAGTACCTGTTCCAATTCCTGTCTCCTCTGCTGGACCTGAAAATCAAAACATTGCACTATTATAGATGCTATAGCAGTTGCATAAACACAGCAACTATGTTAAGAATGTAACTAGCAGTTAACCAAGGGGTAATCAGTCACATTAGACCAATCTACCTATTTGTAACTGACTTGAAAAAATTATGACCAACTTTTTAAGACTAGTCTAAGCAGGTTATGCAACTGACCACTGATGTGTCTTGTAATGGAAAGAAATACCAAGTGCTCACCTTTGAAAATATATAGCGTCCAACAGCTTCTTTGACCCAGGGTGAGTGGTAAAAATCGGTTCTTCTCTCCTCCTCTGGATTTCCCACAGTGTCTGTCATTAACTGCATAAACCAAGACAAAACATCCATGAATGGCGGATGGCAAATAAAAGAAGCCTTAAGGAAATCCAATGAGGGAAACAAAGTACTTTGAGGTCTCGGCTCTGTGACTTGAGCCAGTCCTGAATGAAATCCTGTGGGTAGTTACTGAAGCTGAGCATGAAGTCTCTCTGGGTTTTCAACTGGTTGATGGATTCAATAGTCTCATGGATCTTATGGAGAATGGAAAAGTTAGGTTAAAAACTATATGTAAGTAACTTCAGAATGGGTGGAAAATAATTGACATGAGGTGTCTTTTATGTCCCTGAGTGCACACACACACCGTCATCTCCAGGGCAGTGATCTCCTGTTGACTGGTTGTGGATGACAGGAAGCTGGTCATCTGAGCCTTCAGAGGGTCGTCCACCTCAACATCGATATCAAAGCATGCAGTCTTCTTCTGATCATTGGGATCCACACTGACAAAATGATACAGCAATAAAGCGGAACAAAAAAAACAACAACATTGAGATCACTCTACAAATCTATACTTTACAATTTTACACATTTTAGATTTTAGAATAGTCATTAAAACTATGAGATGAAGGTATGAGAATTATATGACAGTTGTATACCAAAATTGTTAAACAAATAAAAACTTTTTTCAATAGTATTTCTTACAAAGTTTTCCAACAGGAGTTCATATGTATGCTGGACAAAAGTTGCTTTTCCCTCCCGATTCAGGTAAAGGCACCCATTTAAAATAGATAAAATTTTACTTTTGATAAGAAATTCATATACAGGTGCAAACTATATTCAGAAACATTAGTGTTACTGAACATTGGACTGGTAGGGTAAATATTTAGATATTTTGTATTAAAAAAATCTTTCAAAACAGCATGGAAACAAAAGAGAACATTAAGAACAGGAACCACAAACACGCACCTGATTATATGATTGATGACGATGGGGTCAGGGTGCTGTAGGAGGCTGGCAAGTTTCATGGGGATATCCGAAAATCTCATCCTGGGGCAGCCAAAAATCTGCAGGATTACAGCAGTTCGGTTTTCTCACAGGGTTAAAACCAGCACAATCTAATAAAACATGCTTCAGAGATAAAGGGTTTTGGCAGAGAGAACATGTTGGAGGATCTACTGCTAGTACTGAAAACTTGTGTGTCATCCTGGAATGACCTATTCTACAGTGGGTATAGCCAATCTGGTACGGGATTCTGAAGACATAGGGCCTCATTTATCAATCTAACGTAGAAACGAGCACAGATCCGTGCACACAAATCAACTTACGACAGAGTTCACGTGTGATTCATGAAACATTCGTATGCCGCCAATCTCATCGTACGAATGATTGCACGTTGATAAATGTGGCGGCAGAAAACAATCATCATTTGAAAATCAGCCCCTAAAAACACCCCGGGTTTAGAAGCCTCAAGTGTTTACGACACGGAGAAACGAATCCCGGCCAAAAAGAGGAAGTAATCTCATCAAAGAGAAATTGATCTTACTCCAAAAACACCTGTTAACCTTGTAATTGCAAACAATTAGGCTACATTAATTTATGTAATTTATATGTATATTAAAATACTGGTAAATATAAACATTATAGCCTATCTAGTTCCCCTCAGTCTACAAACAAATATTTTAAATTTAACGGTATTCAGAACAGAACAAGAATGAAAAAATAAGTAGTTATAAAATTATATATTAATCTATAAAATAAAACACAAATTAGGCTATAGTGGCATTCATTATAAACAGCATACAAATGTCAAGCAAAACTGAAACGGCATTGGGCTCATGAGCCTGTCTCATACCACAAGAATCCAAATGTTTCCATTTTTGCCATATTTGTAACATTTGTTTGCATAACTATTATTCATTATGTAGTCTAAACATGAAGTCTTTAAACTTCACTCATATTCTAATATCCATGTAAAATCCTTCACATGAGCAAACATGTTTGTTTGGGCGCTGCACGCTGATTTTACAGCGGACCTTTTAAAATAAACAGTGTAACTTTTATGTTTGGTTGACTGCATTTTAGTTTGACGATGAATGGCTGAAATGTTAGGCAACGCTAGAACTAATGTTGTTTGTGTGTGCGTGAGGCACCTGATGGATTAAATCAAATAAACATATAAAGAAAAGAAATAAAATGCATTAAGAGTGACACAAAAACGAGAGTAGCCTATACTTGTTGCACAATGTTTTTTTTTCCTTTAGTTAATCTGTTAATTATATTATAGCCTATTATATATTTTGTGTGATCCGATTTATTTTATTCTTTTTATAGACTTAATTTCTGTTTTTCTCCTTTCACAGAAGTGCTGCAGGTGCATGATGTGGCGATTGAATCCTCATTGTTTACGCTGCTATTCATTTAAACCTAATAAAAAAAAATAAATAAAAAAAAAAGGCATTCTAATCTTACTGGTTAATGATCGACTAATGAGCTTCGTTTGATGGTCAGGAAAATAAAAATGAACAAAATGCTGTCATTCTACAATTCTCCACCTTATTTACTATGCTGCCCGCAAGTTCAGGTAACTCAAAAACGTACGTACACGAGCTGAGACCAGACGTGAGATTTGATCGTAGCCACCGTTCACGTCCATATTGATAAATTCCAAGTTTTGCGTTGAAACGACCATACGCCCAATTTTCTGTCGTACGTTCGTTTCGTAAATGAGGCCCATTGAGAGTGGTGCAAAACTACTATACAGAAACTTCCTATCATAATTCTTTACATAAGATTTAAAAAAATTCCATTTCCTAAGTGAAATTACCATGGTTTCTAAAAATGGATAGGATTCTGAGTTAGGAGTTGGTACCACAAGAGCTAATGCAGATTTGAGTGTCAGCGTAACGGGAAAGTGAAAACAAGTAATCTGATTCCTTGGTTTCAAGGAATTCTGATTAAGTGGAAGCATATAGACTACAAAGAGAAGTGGGCAAAGAACCGAGCCCTGGGGGACGCCTCTGTTGACAGGTCAGGAGCAGTGGAAAGTTTCTACTTCTGGAAAAAGACAAATTGCTATCTATCACTTAGGTACGATGTGAACCAGTGCACAGCTGTGCCAGTAATACCAACGGCTTAGAGGCAAGTGAAAGCATGTTGTGTCAGACAGTGCCAAATGCAAAGCTTAGATATAGGGTTTCAGCAGAGTTTTTCTTTTCTTATGAGTTTTAAACTGAGCTTTAGTGTTTTGGGTTTTGTGAAGAACTTTTGAATTGTGAGAACAAGCTAAATGTAATTTCTTGCTAAGATGGCTAAACATGTTGGGTACCTGTCTGAAGTATCGGTTGCAGTTAATGTACTCTTTCTCATGGCAGTCTTGCAGCTTGTTGTTTTTGATGTAGAGCCACAAGGCCTGCATGATACTGGCTCTGGTCTGAGTGTGCACGCCCAACAGTCGTGCCAGGCGTGGATCCAGCTTATACTGCGGAGGCTAAGTCAAGTAGAAGGAGAAGTAAGATGATAGCTCATCATGTCATTAAAGAGATGCAACCATACAACAACTGTAACAAACAAACTTAGGAAATGAATCAAACTGAAGTCTGATTTTCTTTTAAAGACCCCATTCATTTTTTGGCTTTTTAGTCCATGTCTGCAAAAGTAACCTTTATAAAGTAACTTTTTTTTTTTTATAAAGTTTGTTGTCTAGCTGTTAAAATTTACATTTATTCAATCCCTTAAATAGAAAATCATCACTGGTGACTAATCTACATAGCTCTGATTTGCCATTGCATTCATATTTTTAACTGTTCTAATGCTCAAAATTATGCTTCAAAAAACAACATGTAAAAAGAAATCTTGGATGCAATCTGAGCAGATCTAAATGTAATACCGTAATCAAAAATGTTCATTAAATTTCACATTTCACTTCAAGTGCGACCGTCACAATAAATGTAATATAACTATGCAGGACCATTTTTTGCCTTTTTGCCATTATCTTGAATTTGGGTTGCATTTGTGTTCATTTTGATGGCATCTTTAGCCCCAAGCCTGATGAATAGCCTTTATATGTGTGTGTGTATGATATACCTGGTGGTCTAGCATGAGAAGGAGAGTACATTTCACATTCACATCCCCTGGTCTCTTCACCTGAAATCCGTCTGTCTCCTGAGTTGTAAGCATTCTGTGCCACTAAGACATACAGAAAAAGATGACTACAGATGTAATGGCTGAATTTACTGTAAGACAGTACATGACGGTGAGTAAATGATGCCAGAATTTTCATGTTGTGTTTGATGAGGTCATCATGATCATGAGGATTTAAGTAGATTTACTCATATTGTGGGACATTAACTCAGACTTGTAATATATAAAATATGAGCATATAACTCTATAATATCATACCTCCACCAAGTGGTTGTCTGGGCCATAAAGTTCTTTGTCCAGTTCAATAACCAGGCTTTTAAAGAAGGATGAAAACTTTCGTTTCTGTTTCCCAGGCTAAGGATAAAGACAAAAATAAAGATAAATAAGTAGGGAAAAGGGGAGAGAGAACATGAGATCTTTTTTCAATGCGTTCATGCCACTGATTGATACTGCAGTGTTAGGAGCTGACCGCACTGGGGGGAGTTATTTTAGAAGCAGCACACACTTAGTCACAAACAGCTATTGCACCAGTATGTGCTTGTGCAATGCCTTGCCTGTCCCTCCCTTTGCAGTACCACTCAACTTATGACCACTGAGGCAGAAGAAAGTAAAGAAAAAGAAAGAATCGTTTCCTCTTTTCATGTGGCAGCAGCACAGCCAGAGGTCTTCAGCTGGCAAATATACGCTTAGACATTTTTTGGACTAATTTCACAAAATGGGCCAAAGTTTCAATTCCTTTTCCTCAGAGTTGGGGAACATGGAATAACTTAGAGCACATCTGGTTTGAAGGAGTGAGCTGAGGACATGAACCAGTGCAGTTAAGCTTGCCAACAGACCAAGAGACTCAAGACTGCCAAATAAAAAGCATTAAGCATAGGGGCGACACAATCAGTTTTATCTAAAGATGTTACTAGCCGTAAAACACCGTAAATGTAGTTCTTTACTGTGTGACCCTCACCTTGTTTCACACGCATGCAAATAAGCAAACACATAATCAAACTCATTACGTACATCCTCCAGGAGTTTGCCTTCCACTCGAAGTTCCCAGGATGCCACTTTTTCAGCCTCCTCCCCTTCTGGCTTGCCAGGCATGTAGGTGTTAGAAATATAGATCCTCAGTTTGCGTTTTTGCTGGAAGAGTAGAACAAAGAGCATTGATGTAATAAATCTATTTATTGAAATAATAAATAGATTTTTACTTTTCCTATAATAATTTAAGTGGTAAAGGACAACATCATTTACTCAACCTATGTCACTTCAAGTAATTGGTCATAAAAACTTGGTTTGGTTACCAACATTCTTTAAAATATATTTTTTTGTGTTCCACGGAAGAATGAAAACCATACAGGTTTGCAATGATATGAGGTTGAGTAAATTATGACAGAATTTTTCTTTGGAAGGGGGAGGGGTGTTAACTATAACGTAGCTGAACTAAGAATTAATTTCTAAATTACTACACTGCATATACCGTGATTGGTTTTTTGATGGCCTCCTGTATCTCCATTCGTTTGCGAGCAATGGTCTGGTCCAGCTTTCTCTCAAAGGCCAGAAGGTCCATATAAGCCTGAGACTCTGGGACCAGATCCCTGATCTGAAAAACACCAAAATCATGAGAAACTATGTACTTAAGCATCACAAAAAACTGATTTATACTATTCTGGTTAAACTCACCCTTTGTGGGAGGACTTTGTCAGCCATCTTACGCCTCTTCACCCTGAAAATGTAGAGCAGATGTCTAAGAAACATGACTCAACACCAACATATGTTAAAACATTATTTCAATTACAGTGTGCACAGTTTAAAGTACTGAAGTGTATGGCACATAAATACTCTTAAACAAATATAACTTTGTCCTCTTAAGTTTTACAATGAAACAATTATTATTTTTAATAAATAATTAACATCTTTCCTTAAGTTCTGATTGAGCTCAAATGCTCAATTATTTGAACTTAGCAGAAATATTTTATTAAAGTAATGTTTTGTAGCTATAAATAAGAGAGTTTTACTGTTAAACCAATTCTGCCTACCAAAAAATAAATAAAGAATTTAACCAATTCCATCCGGGCCTGCTTATAACCCATTAAAGTACGTTAAAAAGGAAAACAATTGATTCTCAGGTCCCCCCATAATTTCAGTCGACAAAAAAGGTCTATTGCCCACTGTCAATAAAGTAGTGATGCATGTCACTTTTCACAAATGTCACTTTCAAAACAAGTATTTTTCTGTTGGTCAATACAGAGGTTTTGCGAGACCAACTTGAACATGAGCAAAATCTGGTGGGGAACTTCTTTGTCCTTGTGCGAAACTCCTGATTGCATGGATTCCTATTAAAGTGACTGGATTTTGTCAGCTAAATTTTTTTCGAGACGCTCCTTATATCTGTGGAATTTTCACTTGTTTTATCATTCGAAACCAAAAATCATCTAATTGCTTGGATCAACAATAGCACATCTCTCCTCAACTAGATACTAATTTGAGGTGTAAATTGTTCATGTGTGTATCACAAGTGCCCAAATTTAATATTTATGGTTAAAGAGATAATTTACCCAGAAATAAATATTCTGTCATCATTTCCTCACCTTCATGTCTTTTCAAACCTTTATGACCATTTCTGCAGAATACAAAAGATGATATTCTGAAGAACATGAGTAACCAAAGAGTATTGGTGACCACATTGGGACATTTCTCAAAACATTTTCTTTTATGTCTGACAGAATAAAGAAAGTCATACAGGTTTGGAACGTCATGAGGGTGTGCAACTAATACATTTCCATTTTGGGGTGTTCAAAATGCCTCAGCAAACATCCATAATATCAAATTAATCTGCCCTGTGGCTTAGTCTTTTTGCTAATATCATGAGACATCTTTAAACCATTTTTTTTAAATTCACAGCTATGCTATGCTTCTTTGGCAAAATGAAACGAACGAGTCTCTCAGTTAGAAGGACAAAGAAGTCTTTGGTCTTCAGAGACAAATGCCTATCCGCTGGCAGATGACACTTTTTGGGTTCAGTATTGGACACTTACTGTCATGTAAGCAGAATCATATGCTTCTTATGCTTTAGAAGCTTTTCTTAGATTTAACATCGTACTTGACATCCTGCTCTATAGTAGAACCAGACCACTTTATGCCACATTTTTAACATCATATAATACAAACTTTACTTAGGGCTCCAAAACCAAAACCTTTCTTTGTTTATAAGGCCTCATAAGCCAGACTTCAATGGGAACTTTGAAGTGATATGAATGCTACTGTAACTTTAAATTTGTGGCCATACACGCACAAATATTGATATTAAATGTACTAACCCCCTTCTTGGACCCATAAGACCCCCGGGCTGCTGCTGAAGGAGTCTCTTCCGGACAGGGTCCATCGCAGCTTGAGGCATCCCGGGTCGCATGGGCATGGCTCCACTATAAGACGGACCGGGCAGAGTGGAAACCATAGACCCCATGCCCCCCATTGGCATTCCTCGGCTGGGTGACATACTCGAGCGCTGTGGGTACGACTGTAGGATTTGAGGATTACTATTGTGACACTAACAAATAGCAGACTGTTATTATAGGTTAAGTATGACAAATACGGTATAATTTTGCAATGTTACATTTTTAACATTTGGAAACAGTAGTTAACAAGAACTAACTCAAAAATACTTCCAAAGCACTTATTAATCTTAGTTAATGTTAATTTCATAATTTACTGAAGGGATAGTTCCCCTAAAAAATGAAAATTCTGTCATCATTTACTCAACCTCAAGTTGTTTCAAACCTGTGTGAACTTCTTTCTTCTGTTTAGCACAAAAGAAGACATTCTGAAGAATGCTGACGGTAGCCACTGACTTAAAAAAAAAATACTATGGAAGTCAGTGGCTACCGTCAGCTGTTTGATTACCAACATTCTTCAAAATATCTTCTTTTGTGTTCAACAGAAAAAGGAAACTCATAAAAAGGAAACTCATAAAGGTTTGGAACAAGTGGAAGGTGAAAAAAATGATGACAACATTTTCATGTATGGGTGAACTAGGCCTCTTATTACAATCAAATGTATCTGTAAAACCTGTGCTAACACGAACTAACAATGAACAGAGTTTTTATAGAATTTACAAATATTAAACAAAGATTAATACTGTAAGATATATATTGCTCTTTTGTTGATTTGTTAGTTGTTACGTAATAGGAACTTATTGTAAAGTGTTACCAAAATACCTTGTTGGTACGTACAGTGATGATACCAGATGGTTTTTAACTTTAGAAGTTAATGGGATAATTAGGTAATGATACTCGTATACAAGACAATTGCGTGGTACTCAACGGCGCAGTAAATATTATTATATGGTTTATGTTCGAACACCTTGGTATTACAATGGTATATATGTCCAGTACAAAGATAATCGTATCACCATTGTATATTACAAAATGGAATAGCATTACCATGGCACTTTTTGTTAGTGGCTGAACCGATTCTTTGCAGGTAACATATTCAAAGTAAAGCACGCGTGTCGTGTTCATGGTGGGACTCAAACGCGGAAGTAAGTTAGATGTTTGTTCTTCGAGGGCCTCACATACAGTGCTTAAAAATAACGAATTCAAAATGTCTGTCTTTTCTCTTTTTATTTCTGTAAAGAAGTATGCTTGTATTTTATGACAACGTTTATTGTCATAAATATGCTATTAAATCGTCATTGTTGCTAATGCACTGACACTTCCTATATTGGGCACAAGTGAAGACTGAAGCTATGGCGTGATGCTAAACGCTTCAAACAAATAAAGAGTGGGTTCGTCACTTACTTGGTGGTACTGGTTCGGGGTACTGCCCATCCCTCTGAAGGGTGAATTCTGCGGCATTGCTGGCATTCTCATGGCGCTGCTGTGACCCGGGTTCATGGGGTTCATGCTGGGGTTTATTGGGGTACTGGGGTTGACGGGGAAACCTGATAAACCCGATCTAGAAGCCATTTTATATTATTTTTTCCCGCTAATAATTAAGAAACAAATCAAAAATCGTTTCTGAGTAACTAAAAAAAATGTTAAAGTTCCGCGTTTCCGCATCGCGTTCAAATATCTAATGTTATATATTCTTCTGTCGCTAAATGTCGATCGATGTCCGTTGAGTGTGTCATCTCTTCCTCTAAAAGCATGTCAAACCCTCGTTTATCATAATGGTTGCCTCTCAACAACATTTTAAGAGCCTGACCAATGTCTACAGTTATCAGTGTGTGTGGCTTCTCAGATCTCCTCCCTCTGGGTTGCCAAATAACTTTCCCTCAAATCCTCGAACTAAGCGACAGCTATGTCTTCTATACTCGAAAACGGTTTAATTTGGTGTACAAAGACCTTTTGTTTTGAATATGGAGATGCAGCTCATAACCTGTAGTTTCCCCCCCTCAATTCTTGATGTTGCTCAATTTGTTGACAAAGTTTTAAAAGATACTATTTTAATCTGGTCTGCCTCAGTGCAGTAATTATATTTAATTTAAGTAGAGAATCGACATTTTAGGGATATGAACAAGTGTAAATGTGAGCTTATTTGAAAATAAAATACTGGCAAACGGTTTCAATTAATTATTTTACAAAACTTTTTTGTTCTTGTGCGTTTACTGTTCTTCTTTCTTTATGGCTTTACTGCAGGCAAAATTATGCAGGAATAAATTACATCAAAAAAATGGCAAAAAGTGGTTAAATAAACATAGGTGTTCTACCATTTATTTCAGTCTGTACTTACTCAAATGTTACTCAAAACATCATCAAACATATTCGCACAAGGATCAAGTAATTAAGTATTAACAAGTATTGTCAAGAAATATCACTTATTCTTTTTTAAGAAATTAAGTTTTCCTCATTTTTACTGGTTATATATTTTGGGACCAGAAAAACAAACAAACACATTTTTCCTAAGAGTATCTGTACTACTCTATTTAGTCAAAAGCGATGTTTTACCAAATACAAGTGTTCTTTTGAACAGTGAAAAGTTTCACACTGCGTTTTGAGGCTAATAAAAAGTAGATTCTAAAACAAATGCATACAAGTAGTAGTAGTAATGAATTACGGATGTTCGACATCTGCAGTGTTGCCATTGTTGGACATATTGCATTTCTCCTACAATTGCCCTACTCTTGTTGTAACAAATATCAGTAGTCTTGGAATGGTAGCTCATACTAACTGACAAAAAGTGTACAGTTAATCATGCATTTCTTATCCGCCAACGAAAATAGTTTCTAAAGAAGCCAAAGCCTCAAGCATAGCATTTTACCAAGAGAAATGACTCGAACTTTTTTTGCCTTCACAACACCCATATTTCTGAAATACATATTTGCAGCACACACATGAAGCATGTTCAGAGTTCTGATCTTTTATTACATTGATGACATGCCCATAAGCATATGGCTCACGGTCAGGATAGCAGCATCTTTCACCTAGTCAAATATATATATATATATACACCACCCCTACCCCTAAAAGTGAGACCGCACAGGACACCTTACACTGTAAACATCTAAAACATAAAAAACGTAGAAAAGAAAAACATTTCAATAACAAAGATATTCTCAAGCCTTAATTCTTTTTGGAGATCTATGCATTACAATGATAAAGATATTCTCAAGCCTTAATTATTTTTGGAGGTCTATGCCAAACTGTCTTTCCTCTCTTTGTAACCAATAACTTACTATTGAAAATAAAAAATGTAGTATGATAATGTGCTACAGAACTAGTGACATAATACAATACAACTGTACCACACTTTGGCTATTGAACTACAGAGAAAAGAAAATACTCTACTGGATCATGATTCTCCAAAACAATGTAATAAGAAACTGTGTAGTAATTACCTGATGGGAAACTGTTCACACTGATTTATGATCTTGATTTTTTGCTATTAAATCTTTAACGATTTAATGATAAACTGCTGTAAAATCCTCCCAGAATGAGAATTTCATTTCAATTTCATTTAGAAAGAATCCTGCACCTTAGTGATGGGAGAGCTCAACTGGCCCAGCGTCTGTCTGCCGATATCATGAGTTCTAACTTCCTCCCTGAGAGAATCGTGCAAGTTCCTCTATTCTAGATGTGTCGATTTTGAGAGACCAGAAATCAAAGCTGCACAAGCAGAGCAAGCAATGAGAGTGTGTGCAAAAAATTCTGAAGATGAAAATGGAAAAAAAAAAAATGTAAACTGAATGACAGAAGAATTAGTCCACATCTCCTCCACTGATCAGCATAATTTAGATCACACAATCCCGTGATAAGGTGAACAGTGTGGCACTGTGGGTAGTGAGTGACTCCTGATACCCACAGGGTTATTGAGAGAATGTCTCCTCTCTTAGCAACACGCACAAACTGTCCTGGTTCTCCACACGTCTCTTAGGACCCAGCAAAGCTTCAAGAAAACCATTCACCAGACAGTTAATTAAAATGTCTTAAATTGTCAACTTTAAAAGTCTCAAAGACGGTTGACTGTTAGCATACATTATTGCTTACGATATTTTTAACTGGCATGTAAAGCATTTAAAATGGACCTCGAACTTGCTGAATGCAACTTCAGGGGTCGTTCACACGGATTGTGTTTTTGCATTCCCATCGTTTTCCTTTGTAAACATGCACTAGATAGATATTCGATAACTGAGCTAAAGAAAAGTGTCTTTGCGTTTCCCCCCCATTCCCCACGTCACGTTTTTCAATGCAAAAACACGCTCTGTGAATGGCCCCTAAAGGCCCCGTATACTTCAAGCGAAATTGAAGAACGCACTGTTGTGATGTCATTTCGAACAAAATCAGTTGACTTGCCAAAGCCAAATTCCTGGAAAAGTTTGCTCAGGCTGGTAAACGCCTTCGAACTACCATTGATCCGTGACGATTACATAATGAGTAGGTGCACTCTGCGGCTCTGCCTTTTTGACGTGGAAATTTTCTCCCGTTCGTTTCTTCTGTTCAGTCTGTCGAGGTTAGAAGTGAGTAAATACATGAACACAGCGGAGAGCTGCTTTATAGCAGAAATTGAAGAAATTGTAAACGACACCGTAAAGCTGCTCGCTTTTTTGGAATAGTTCACCAAAGAAAATTCATAATTCAAAAGTTCATAACTCTGCTTCCAATGAAAAAGTCCATCCCCAGTTGTCCTCTCAAATCAAAACCCACTGATATTTTTGTTTAACTGTTTTCAGTTGCAAATGGTACTTGATCTGTTCATATTTCTCTTTTGATTCACACAAGACAATTTTTTCACTGCAGAAAGCAATATTACAGATAAAGGACTAATATTTTAGCCAGAAGCAAAAGTTTGATGTTAAAAATGTCTTGATGAATTTGTTTCTTACAAACACTCAGCTTTTCGCTTCACTAGATGGACTGGAGTCGTGTGGATTTCTTGTTGAGTGTTGTGATGTTTCTATCAGTTGTTTGGACTCACATTTTGATGGCACCCATTCACTGCAGAGGACACATTGATGTAATGCTAAATTTCTCCAAATGTGTTCCAGACAAACTCATCTATATAATGACCTGAGGGTTGATACAATTCAGCAAATTTTCATTTTTGGGTGAATTATTCCTTCAATCTATTGTATAAAGTGCAAAGACTTTTGACATTCACGTCAATATGATCAGATGCTCATTCACCGCTTTCTTCCCCCCATTGCTGTTATTTTTGTTGTGTTTATTTTTATATTTTGAGAGGAAAGCATGCAGTTCATGTTTACATATTCATCTAAATGCCACTATCAGCAGCGTGAGCAGCATTGGCATGTTTGCTAACAGTATAGTTTTTCAAACTTCTTTTAACCTCTAAGCGAGGAATGAAAAAGAACTTCGCCGTGAGTATATCGGGGCCCTTAAACTTGAATATAATATTACAGATTTCACACAAGAAAGAAAAACACATACCTACCATTTTTATGTTTCATGGATTTGGATCTTCTTGGTGAATTTGGATTCTGCACGGAAAAATAACAATCAAACATTAGCCTGCAGCCAGGATATGAAAATGAAACCAATTAAAAAGACAAAGTAATGGAAAAGGCAGGTAAAATATGCTACAGTCCAGCACCTTTTAGAAAGCTAATTTATGAACAGCTAGTAGCCAAAGCATTCTTGTTGAAAGGAATTGTGGATACGAATTCTACATCCTTTAATAAACTAATTCTACATCTAATTTGCACCAGATCCTGTGGCTACAAATGCTGAGAGGCCATCTAAGAGCAAACAGAACATATGTAACATTAAAACAAACTTACCAAGTGTACAGGTTGTTTCAAAGAATGTAAAAATACCTTATCTGACTTTCTCTTCTTGGCTAGAAAGCAAAATATTAAATGTTAAAATAACACAACATGCATACATTCATAAATAGTTATGCAGTGAAATCCCTTGAGTGGTTTAGTGATTAAATCTAGAATATTGCACAGAAAGGTGATATATAACAGACTCACCTTTCTTTTCTGCCCCATAAGACCAGTCATTGTCATTGACATCATCGTTGTCCTCTTGATCGCTCTCTGATTTGTTTGTGTTGTTGCCGCTCGCAATTCTAAATATACATTTATATACACACACATTACCATCACGTGTTCCAAAATAGCAGTCACATGACCAGCATTATCAAAAAAGGATTCCAGACATTCAGGCAAGCACCAACCCTTCATGAACTTTTGCCTCGAGTTCACGTGACATCTATATTAAATTTTTCTTCTGGGAATGTTCAGTCATAATACCTGCGGTTGGCAATGCGACTGCTGTTGCGGCCCATGCCGAGGCATTTCTCCAGGTGAGGAGCAAACCGGGAAGCAGCGATGCTCCGGCTGCAGTTGGGACACACACACTCTTTGTTTTTCCACTGGTTGTACACTTGCCCAAAAATGTCTACTCCAGGCTGGTCCACGATTTCTACAAATAACAGTGGGAAACAAGAGTTTTGGGTTAAAGGTGGCCTCTTCCAAAAAGCTGCATATACCAAGATGGTTCTCTCATATTCCAATGAACAGGAGAAAGTACTTGCACTTGGTACTGCACATACAATACAAACATACATAGTGTTCCTCTGGCTCAGTGGTAGAGCATTGCGTTAGCAGGGCAAAAGCTCGTGGGTTCCATTCCCAGGGAACACACATACTGGTAAAAAATGTATAGCCTGAATGCACTGTCAGTCGCTTAAGCGTCTGCTAAATGCATAAATTATTATTAAAATCATTAAATTATATACACATTGGCTAAACCAATATCTGAAATATA